TGCGTTCAACTGGAGGTTGTTAGTTTGACTCCACTGAACCACATTTTGTATCTCTGCTCTATAAGAGGATTCATCATTGTCACTGATGAGACCGATGATGGTGGTGTCATCAGCATATTTAATGATCAAGTTTGAGTCAGAGGAGGACACACAATCGTGAGTGTACAAAGTAAAAAGCAAAGGACTCAAAATACATCCCTGAGGAGAACCAGTGCTCACAGAAGCAACATCAGAAAAACAGTAATTGATTTTCACTCTCTGAGATCTGTCAGTTAAAAAGCTAAAAATCCATTTACACATGGCAACACTTAAACCGAGAGACATGAGCTTTTCAATCAGTTTACCTGGGACAAGGCAGTTAAAAGCCGAGCTATAATCAATGAAAAGCATTCTGGCCACAGATTTACTATTGTCCAAGTGACTGTAGACAGAGTTCAGAGCAAAGGAGATGGCATCCTCCACACTCCTGTTCTGTCTGTAAGCAAACTGGAGCGGGTCAACGCTCACAGGGATCTGGCTCTTAATGAAGTCCAGCACAAGCCGCTCCAAAGTTTTTATAAGAACAGACGTGAGGGCCACGGGACGATAGTCATTCAGGCATGTCATTCATGGGCTTTGGGCAAAGTGGGGTTAAGTGTCCTGCCCAAGGACACAACGACAGCAGTCATCAGTGGGAGTCGGTGGAGAAGGTGCAGGTGTATTTATTTTATTTCCATTAATTTGGAGGACAATGACACACGTCAAACGTGTCTCTTACTACTGTCCTGTATGTGCGCTGCAACATTGACATTTTTATCTTTTAAGTCAATTGTGTGTTTCACTATTTTCCTCTCCGTCAGTACGTATCATGTTTGGCTGTAGACAGAAAAGCCACAGAAAAGTGGACTATTGCTAATGCTACCAGCAAAATGTACATATTAATCTGCTCCAGTGTGAGGGGATGCATTGTTAACGATAATGATAAAGATCATGTAGGGTGAATTTGGGAAAAAATAGACATTTTATTTAATCGATAAAATTGACTGTGGGGAGAAGGTACGGGTCAACATCCAGTTAGGCAATCCTTAAAGGTCCTATATCACGCTTTTCTTCATGTTTCACACTCAATCCTATACACATGTGTGATATTAATGTGTATGATACACCACACAACAATCAAAGCTTGTGAGATTAGAGCCATCTTTTGTATAGAGGTGACGTCACCTCGACTCAAACGAGCTGATCCAGAGAAGAGTCTGCTCTTCTGCCTGTGAGCCCGCCTCCCCCCGCCCGCACGCTGACGTAGCATCACGCTTTTGTCGTTTATCACCTGTACTTAGTAATTTCATACATAAGAATAAACTTTTTCCAACAATGACAATCCGTCACATCGAGCCCTATGTCCTCGATGCACAATCAGACCCTAGTTATTTAGTTTACAGAAGTATACAGCGAGTTAGCGTCACTACTTACAGATCGAGGGGGTCCGAGTTACGTCTTTTACCGTGGGAATAACGTGTTTCCACATCAGCTTTTGAGTAAGTCCAGTTCCATTGTCCCTGTAGTTCTGGAACAGTCTCAGTGAAGCGTCGCAGATGAACCGGTATTATAATAGATCCATGAGATGAACAGATGAAAAAAGTCGAGCCGCTTTCTTCCTCTTAGGGCCAAATAGTGTGTCACATATTTACACCCATAACACACTTCATTCAAGTTGACGTGATCCTAACACTTTTAGTCGCTGACAAAAGCATAAAAACAGCAGCTCTATGTGGAGTCCGGAGACCAGACCACAGACGCTGGACTCGGGAGCTGGAGCCTGTGCGCTCTGATTTGCTGCTTTGATCTGTCAATCACCTCCCGCCGGCTTTTAATAGCGAACTATCTGAATGACGTCACTAGGCCACGCCCCCGCCGCCTGTCAACTCCCGCCCACATGTTTCGGACAAACACTGCCAAAATGAATCAAATACCTCTTGTCACTTTAGACGAAAATGATAAACCAGGGGCAAAATTCCACCATCAAACCATCAGGGATCATAGTGTAGACCAATTAAAACGTTGGCTTGAATGTCGTGGTCTTCCAGTAACTGGTAGAAAGTTTGATTTGATAAAAAGGTAATGGGGAGGATTATGCTAACATTATCTAGTCATTTAAATTGCAATGTTAGCGCCTTCTTTGTTTATTTTGCTCTGATTAACTTCCATTTATCAAGTTGTTTTTGTACTGTCCATTTCGTAATTAGTTTGATCATTTAGTTAACTACAGTCAGCCGGTATTATAATAGATCCATTGGGTCACAACGGGCTACACCACTACTGTCTCTGAGAGAGAAACTATCGGAGCTAGCCACACTCAGTAAACGCAAACGACAATCAATCAACATATTTAAATGTTAATGCTAGAATATAATATTCATACAACACACGTGCACAGAGGTTTTCAGAATTATCTGTTAAGGTTTTCATGACAAAAATACTTTTTTAATGCGACTAAAGCGATCGCTTTTTTAAAGTAGGTGAACTAAAACCTTTGGGAACTATTTTCTTTGCACTCATTAAATAAACCTTTTGGCATGAATAAAAGTGACTGAAGTTTATTTTGTGTGTTCAGTTGGTACAAAGCCGTATAATAAGCGGACCCCAACGCGCTTCGTCTGTGCTTATTTTCCGATAGTCACGAAGTTGAAAAAATCCCTCTCATCTTTCTTTAGGTGTGAGAATTGTATACATTCTGGATTAGGACAAACAATACTAATTTGGATTGATGGGGCTAACTACATTCAGAAGAGCTCAGACGGACCTGATACAGCGGTCCAGGTCCAGTCCCAGCTAAACGTAGCTAGGACTGGATCTGGAGGCTCCACAGTTGGTCCAGCGAAGTGTTTTGAAAAAACATGTCCTTTTTAACATTTTCATGAGAGAAATTCTGCCGACCACAACCACCCACCTCTTGCACTTGTCCTGGTCTGATCTGGTCTGGTCCTGGTCTGGTTCGATGGTGTGGTTTAACGAACAGGTTGAATGTTACTGCTTTCATATAGTCCTTTTCAGAGTATCTGAAATCGCTCCCACAAGCACCATAACTGCAGTGTTTTGTTGTCACCATGATTCAATGATTTAGCCCAAATAAATACACACGCTTATGTGGAGAACACAGTAGTACTCAACGGAGTCGGACAGAGTTTGTCCGAAACATGCGCGCATGCGCAGTCATTGGAACTATTTTTAGCACATTTCGGAAACCGGACAGTGCCCTATTTATTTTTATTATTTTTGACAAAAAACAGCATACTAATTGTGTATTGTTTACCCCGTTTTGACAAAAGTATTTAACAACTATTTTAAATACAAAGCAAACGCTTTGGGACACACTTCTCGATTGTGTCCCACTTGTTGTTGATTCATGACAAAAAATTAAAATGTTATATCTTTATGTTTGAAGACTGAAATATGGCGAAATGTTGAAAGGTTCAAGGGGACCGAATACTTTCGCAAGGCACTGTATGTCAGTGGACATTACAGGCACAGCTGAGAACCTTAGTACAGCCCTCACCTTGGATGCAGGGCAGTTGGAAATGGAAATAATAAGTCTGCACAATGACCTGTACCTTAAAACATATCTGAGTAGCCCAAACGTTTGGAACCTAGATCTGTACTTTTCCATGTCTACTATCTGTACAGATCTATCTGTACTCTGTCTCTTTAGGTCCACTTATCTCTGTGAATCAGCCTTTTCCAATATGAACTTTATAAAAAATAAACAAAGAACCTGCCCAACTGATTCTGGTTTCTCATTAACTGACAAACAACACTGAACAGTGTTTTATTAAAACACCATGTTACCCGGTCAATTGATCATTTTTCATTTATTAAAGCAAAAGTTGGAGATGACACAAAGTATTTGGAAAAACTATGTTCTGTTTTTTGTTGAATAAAAATGTGACATGTTCATGTTCATTTACACAAAATAGATGTCACTTTGATAAAGAATAAATTAATTTACATATACTACAAATGCCCTTTTATGTGTGAATATTGTAAGCTATTTTGACTTGTTTATACATATGTGTTGAGCTGGTAGCCCTCAAGCTATTTGTGAATCTTAAGGTAGCCCTCAGCTTTAAAAAGGTTGGTTACCCCTGTTTTAGCAGATGAGTCGCGTATCGCGGCCGTGGACACCTGCAGAGTCGCGGCTGCTGCTGTCTCTGAGTTCTATGGAGAAGTTTATAGGACAATGTAATGTGTCACTGACACTAAATGATCAGACCGATGGGTTGCATTTGTACGTTTACTCTGCACTCTGTCATAAAACAGTACAGATGTGTTGCTGCAGCCGTTACTATTTGTTGGCTTGCACTTATCTTAGCAGAGTATGTGGTGAGTTCACGAGTACTCCTTACAAACTATTAAACATTACAGACAGTATGGGCCAGAGAACTGTAGAGCAGTAAAATGTTTGTCCTCATGGTCTCTGTGGCTGCTGTAATCAGACGCGACTCTCTGGACTTTGTGAAGCGGGGAGACCCGCGCACGTGCGGCTGTTATGTATCCCGTGTGAATGCACAGCAAAATCTCAGACATCCTCCGTGATTATCACAAATTATCAGGGGTCCACAGGTAATACAAATCTCGTGCGAGTAAACAAACTTGTTTCACTTCCGGGTAATTGATCGACGCCGAAATGTATTAAATACATGATAAAAAAGGTTAATTATTGCATTTTCTAGTTCCCAAATGTGGTTATTATAATATATATATGCCTTATAAGCAATGAAAAAACCCAAAATGGTCATGGATTTCCCTTCAAAAATAGGAAACGTATTGAACGCAAAAGTACACGGACCATTTTGACACTGAATTTTAAAACATTGGACTTTTGAACACTGAATTTTAAAACATTGAATTTATTTACACTGAATACTTTTTTGTTATAGTTTATACAATTCAAAAGCAAAAAAAGTGTTGATAATAAAAACACAAAATATTCTTCATTGAGAATGTTGTAATCCCACAAACAATCACGTGATGGCGAACTCACAGGAGTTGCCTGGGAAACCAAAGCGGTCCCATTTACACTTTCTCCTTCCAAACAAAAACATGAGAAAACCAAACAGTTTGAGATTATTACATGTGTTTCTACTGTAGGTTTATGTGACAGTTCTATGGGCTCATCGTTTCAACTAATTTAACCGTGATGCTGTGAATAAAGACTCAGTTCTTGTTGGAAACAGTTATTATAACATTTTATTCAGCACAAGCAGCAAAACAATAAGTGTACAGAAGGAATGCAAAAGACGCAATAAGCTACGAGTGCAGATTCCAACCAAGACAGGGGCAGGAACAGTGCAAAAGTAACGACTGTACAGTTTATGAGTTGAATATGCAACAAAACTGAACAGTCCACAGTCTCTGCGTATATCAGGGACTGAGCCATGAACCCAAACTACTGTCCCTTCGGTCCAAAGTGCCGTGTCAATGCTCCCTGCAGCTGCTCTATGCTTCCGTCCAAAACACACACACACAGACCAATCACAGTGGAGCTTCTCTGCGGCGGTGGCTGCGTAGTTAGAAATGTTTGAGGGTGCGCGGCTGGCTACGCAAGGGCCTTGCGTTATGCAAGTGATGTCACGTCACCACCGTAAGCTCCATGCTGCGCTACTATACACAAGGCTTCACGTTTGCATAACTTAGCAAAGGTAAATTTTGGAGAGAAGATGGGAAAGTGCATCTCAGATCTTCTTTTGGAGTGAGGAACGTTATGTTGGTGCTGTTAAGCCATTCCAGAAAGCCCTCCAGGTTGCAGTCGCAGTAGAAGTGATTCCCGGCTAGGTTGATGTAAGCCAAACTTCGGAATGTGTCTGGATTTGGAGAGGCTAAGAAATTGTTGGATAAATCAAGTATCTGCAGAGAACTTGGAAATATGTGCGACATGAGGTAAGTTAGGGAATTGGATGATAGATATATTTCTCTAATAGAGCGCAGACTGCTGAAAAGGCCTTGCGGGAGAGATTGGATGGAGTTGTGTGAGAGATTCAGACCTAAAAGGTTACCAAAATGATCGAAGATATCTAGACAAAATCCCTGAGACCATATAATCTGCAAGGAGCTGTCGTGGAGGTCAAGCACTAATAAACTATTGTTTGTAGAGGTACGAGGACTATGGCACCATTTGATAAAGTTACCGCCAAAGATTAATGTCTCAAGATTTGGAAAGTATTCAACAATTGCAAATACGTCATTTAATAAAGTCAATTGGTTGCCTTCCACTTCCAAGAGTGTTATGTTTCGTCCGGCTAGGTTGTTGATATTGTACAATGACTCCAATCGGTTGTTGTTCAAATAGAGAAAGCGCAGTTTTGGCAAGTAGACAGTCGATGTTAACTTTCGTAGTGAGTTACTATTTAGATTCAGCAGCTTAAGAGAGGACAGGCCGCTGAAGGATTGGTGTCCCAGCGCACCAATGTGGTTAAATGATAAATCTAGTATCTTCAAGCTGGTCAGATGCTGAAATGTCTCACTATAAATTTCTCCAATAAGATTGTGAGACAGGTTCAACAATTGCAAACTGTTCTCAAGGCCCCTAAACGCCCCCTGGTTTATCTGATTGATTTTGTTGTGGCATATGTTAATAATTTTTGCATCAGTTAATGGGCTAAATACCGATGGCTGCAGCGAAAAGATGAAATTATTAGATAGATCGAAGGCTTCAAGTGAACTGCTCTGAAGGCCTTCGAACGTTTTCTTATCTGGATCTAACAAATTGTTAAAGGAAAAGTTACGTCCCAGCTTTCCAGAGTGGTGCAAAGATTTGATTAGCGTCCCAGCGATTGCTTTTAAGAATAGACGGAAACTAGCTGTATCAAAACCTACTCTGGACAGGTCGAGTGTATCGAAAGCCATGTTTCTAAATGGGTTTCCACACTGCTCCCAGTCAAAATCAGGTGTTAGCATAGTTTTGTACAATTTATTAGAGTCTAGATTAAAATGTGTGAAATTCTTCCCTTGAAAACCAAAAAGATCATCTTCACACAATCTGTCAATTTGGTTGTTTTTAAGATCAACATTCTTTAAGTTTCTGATTTGGAAGAACATTTTTGCTGGGCGTAGTCTAACGATGTTGTTGGAGGATAAACGAAGTGTTTTGAGAGACTGCAGCGGTTGCAGGTAGTTCCCTGACAATATAGAGTCGTTCAGATTACAATTGGTCAGATCTAGCTCTTGTAGACTGTACAATCCGGCAAACGCTCTTGGCTCCAACATTAAATCAAGGTTGGAATCCAGAATGAGAGTTTTCAGTTGTTTCTGACATAGAAAAGCATTGTTTCGGATCACCAAGGGTCTTCTCTGAGCCCCCAAGTCCACACGCTCCAAGAGACGCAGGCCACGTAGCGACGCGCTGTGCAGTTCTGAAATGTTGTTGAAATCCAGGTACAAGTTCTCCGTGTAATTGGGCAGCACTGGCACTTCTTTCAGATTCTTGAAACTGCATTGTGCGGTCGCCTGACTCATCTCACAGGGCACAATCACTGATACCTGCAATAGGAAAGCACAGCGTAGAATCACACTCTATTTTACACCTAATAAACGTGAGCATTGTATATATTTTCCACCACCAGCTTGTTTGGATGGAAACGAATTCTATTGGGCTGATTGAAAGCGGTACTAAATCAATCCACACACAAAACATAATCCGTCTAACTAGTTCCGTGTTTCTGTCACTATTTTCACATGCATGGATTTTCAGTTAGCTTTTTCAGACAGAAACATGAAAAAGAGAGGACCACCTTCACTAACAGTCAAACAGCTCAAAGAGACCAAACAGAATCTCTCAGGTCTCGTTGTCATATATTATTTGGAATTGTACAAAGTGTCATTATTAAAATGGTGGCAGTTATTACTTAATAAAACAAGGCAAGGCACTTCCCGGTAACAATGCTAAATTAACTAAAAAAAAGACAGAAAAGTGTTCTAAAAATGTTACTTTTATTTTTAAAGACATTTTGTTTAAACTGTTGTAGTTTAGTCCGGACTCTGAAGTTTTTATGTTTGGTTTTTTGTTAGTTGCTTTCAAGTTTGGGAATCAATTCAAATTAGCTCGTATTGTAGACAATAATAATAATATTTAAAAATATATATATATCCCATTTAACATTTTCTTGAGGGACAGATGTTTTCGGATGCCCATCCTAGAAGACATATGATATATATGTAGGTTGATATATGTATTCTTTTTGACAGAATCTGCTAAGTGTGTAACAAAATAAACCAACATTGCTCAAACTAACTAATATTGAACATATGAGGAAAAAAATAGGATAAATATAGAATAAAACCTGGCTAAACCAGAGCATCTGACTGTTCATTTGGCCTGATTTAGCCTCAAAACACAGGTTGAATCGGTCTGATCTAGGCATGATCTTCTAGAGTAGACTATATCAGAGCAAAGACTCACCTGTCCATAACAGAGCCATGGTCCGTACAAACGGAGCATGAGGAAAAGCAGCCTTCCAGGATCCATGTTCAGAGAGAAAATCACTGCATATTTACACAAACCAGCACAGGAGGTCACGGTCCACTCCTCTCCGTTGGTTCTTTGTATGTAGAGGGCAGTGCTCTTACGCACCAAGAACATTCTCGTTCAAATTTCACAACACTTTTGGAAATCACGTCATCTAAAAATATTTAGATATTTTCTGCTTTTTGCATAGAAACTGGAAGGTCAAACATTTACAGGTTTGAGTATTGGTTTGCAAATTTAGTGTAAATACAAGTACATCTATACTCTTTTTAGTTTTGATGAGGCACAATTATACATGTTTAGGAAGGGAAAGAAAAGCCACGAACATAAGAAAATAAAAAGCTAGTAATACTAAATCTGAGGAGAGGTTGTTTTTCCTCAAGTCCAAACTCGTTCACGTCTGTTATCAGCTATGGATACTTTATTGCAGCCATAAATCGCCTCTTAAATCACATTCTCTCATTTAATTTGAGGTTTTTTGTCGCGGGTCAAACTTACTTCCATGTCATGCAGGTAGGACTCGTATGAAGGTTATTTTGTGTTTTTATTGTCAACACTTTTTTTTTTGCTTTTGAATTCTATAAACTGTAACAAAAAAGAATTCAGTGTAAATAAATTCAGTGTCCAAAAATTCAATGTTTTAATATTCAGTGTCAAAATATTCAATGTTTATAAATTCAGTGTCCAAAAATTCGTTGCATTTTTTTCGCTGGTTGAAATGTCAGGCTTGATTTCCGGGTAAATCTAGACAGAAGCAATGGATCAGCCAATTCTCCGTAGATGTGGCCAGAACACGACTTTGGCTCCAATATCCAATGAAAACACTGAACAAACTGAAAACACAAATGAATGATGTTATCAGATGTGGGTATTGTTTAGGGCAGTCACAGCTGTTTGAATGAAATATTTATACTAGAAGTTCTTCCTGGCCTGTGGAGCTCAATATCCCCTGAGTTGTACATTGTTTGGGTCATTTTTCTGGTCAGACTGAATATTCTTGGATTTTGGTTTGTGTTTCAGAGTGAGACAAATAGTAATACAAATGTATACAACAATAGAGATTATTACCGTTTACCTGCACAGCATTCCCAGGAAAGGATAGTGATTGAGTTTTGGAACAAAGCAGGATTATACTGTGGAAAGCTTTAACGGCTGAAGTCTGTAGGATGTGAGAAGGTTCTCCAGCCTGCAGAACGCTGGAGTAGCTATAACAACAAGATTCAATTAAATCGACAGACTAAATGAATTCAATAAGTAAAAGGTAATCATATATATTCACCTGGTTTTAACCATTTGCTTTTATCCCTCGAAGTGGATGTAAACACTGGGGGAATGCAGGATCATCGTGTGTGTGAATGTCTTGCACGTGGTTAAAAATGGACTTTGCTACTCTTTCCTGGGGAGTCAATGAAGAAGCAGCAGTCCAGTAGATGTGATTTTTTTTTTTACACTACGAAGCCACTTTGTCAGTTTTGTGCAGTCTTTGCTCTTGGCTACCGTTACCATCTTTTTGTGTTGCCCTATAGTATGAACAAATATATACAATTAAAAGACTACACACTAAATGATTTACATGGTCATAAATTGTACTATGTACAACTGCATTTTCACTGCCAGCTTTGAATAATGAAACAAAACCTTTTGCTATGTGCCAGACCGTAGTAGTGGGTCAAGTATTTCTGGACCTGTGGATGGCGGTTGGTCACAATACAGTCCAACGATACTGGTTTTTTGCATTCAGGACACCAAGGCTGCGTTTCAGACCCTGAAGTTCCATATGATAACTTCCACCGACTTCATTGCTCTGCAAGTACAATGGAAATGGTTAGATATTGTTCGATCTCAGCACAAACAATGTTTTCAATAATTACTTGAACTTGTTGCAAGTCAATGATTTTCTTGCTCCTCAGATCCATCATTGTATTTGTATAACTTTCAAACTTTGCAGAGTGTCCTTAGTGATTCAAAGTGTGGATTTTAGTCATTACTAGAAATACCATATTGATGATAGAGTATATACCTGGAGAGTCAGTCCTCATGTCACCACCATTGTCACCCTGTGTGGACTTCCATTTGTGAATAATAGCTGGCTCTATAAAAAGTCTGGCATGCCGTCTACAGGTGTTGTGCTCAAACATTTTCAGCCTCATTGACTGAAAGATCTGGGAAAAGCAAACATTGTCAAATATGCATATATTTACCACCAACAACATAGAAGCATTTAGTGGGAAGTCATTACCTCTTCCACTTTGAAAGATGATCCACCATTGGAATACACAGCAACTGAAAGTTGTAGATTCCCAGCTGGAGTACCTCCATGTTGTGGTTGACTACACACTAAATCACAGTGTGTAGACACCGCTACTCTACACAAAGAAAGGTTCCGACTGTTCTGGTCCGCACCCTTGTCACTCGTTGGCACACAGGGCTTACCACAAAAAGGCATTTTCATACATAATATAAGTAGATATTTTGTAGGCCGGTGTTGAAGGATCCACGCTGTAGTAAAAATTAAAGAAAACAAACATTATAATACAAAGGACTTTATTTATATCCGTATGAAATATTACTGGTATTGCTTTGCTTACCAGTGTCCTGTCATAGCATCTATGGAGTCTTCAGGGTCATATGTTGAATCATTTGGGCTCTGCATGTTCATAATCGAGCCGCCTTCTAAAGAATCATCATCACCGACTGTTGTATGACAGAGGCTCTTTATTGGTGAGGTGTTTTACAACATGGCTATTATACTATAATACTAACCTGTACTTTTGACATGGGGTAGGAGAGTTTTCATGGAAAGCTAAGTCCCAACTGAGCACATCTGACAGCTTCTGCGTCGGTGGTTTAGCCCTCTAAATTAAACAAAAGTTGATTATTTATCTTGTTACAACAAGCACACTAACAAGGCAAATAATCATAATAAATACAAAGTGCTAGATATTTGCACTAACGGCAGAACTCTCATGACTTGTGAATCTGTTGACTATACAGCACAGCACCACACTACGCACACAAATATATAATATAATACTGCCAAAGAAGGGTACTGCTCACTAACAGTGTTGTTATTATAGATCCATGGTAAAAGCACATGCACAGAACAGTGTTGGGCACGTTACTTTGAAAAAGTAATTAGTTATACAGTAGATACTAGTTACTTCTCCCAAAAAGTAACTGAGTTACTAACGGAGTTACTCCACTATAAAAGTAACTAGTTACCAGTAAAAGTAACTTTTGCGTTACTTTTTTGTTTTGTTCTGGAACATAATGTGCACTTTTAACCTCAGTGAGTTTGAAATCGTGCCAATATTTCCATCTAGAAAAGGCTGTTTTGCTGCTGGAGTCCTCCTCACTCTTCATCTCTCTCTGTGCTGTAAGCACTAAACACCAACACCCGCCACTGTGAATGTGGAAACACCGGTGAAGCACTGACTTCAGCCCAATCAGATGAACATATACATCATATAAATCAAGTGGACAATTTGTTTGGCTACAGCAGAATATGTTTTATGCCCGCATTGTTTGTTCATACAAAACCAAAACTATGAGTTATGGGTCTTACCTTATAAATGACCTGCACAGTCCACTTCGGTTCAGACCAGTTCCGTGTTTAAGTCCAGATAATGGTTTGGGCGTAGATATGTAATCCTCTATTTGGAAATGAGTCCAATGAGTTTTAAAAAGTAAAACAAAACGCGTGTGTCCTCCATAAACTCCTCTGTTTTGCTGCAGCCGGCTGCATCCAATTTCTAAAATCAACAGTCTTACACTTCACCTCTCTTTCTTATCATTCCTATAGTAATTGAAAAATTACCCTAAGTGCATTTTAAATGATCTTAAAATGTGTTATATGTATGTTAGCCAAACCTGTTGCTGTCCTTAGCAGATAAACCAGGAAGAGAAAGGAGCTTTTCGATGGAATTGTATGCAGCCTTCTGCGCTCACATGAGCTCCTCTGAGGCCTCACGGTGATACAAGCCGTGGTTGAGCGCGATTAAGACCCATATTTGTTTCAAAAACACAATTTATGAGCCATCCTCTCAACTGTAGACATGTAGATTGTAAAGGAAATATGTTTTACATCAGCCAATAATTGCTGAGAGGTTTTCTCATCCTCCCTTCTCTCATGACAACACGCGCACGAGTCCTATCATGAAGTAAAAAGACAAGTTCATTGTGCGTCTTGAGTAACGGGATGTCGGAAATGATAACGGTGTTATAGTTACAGTCAAAGTAATTAACTAGATTACTGAAAAAACGCCGTTATTCCCATCACTGGCACAGAATGACTTACAAAATATGCTAATCCTTGTTGTCACGGACAATACTTGACCACAAACTACATCCCAGACACCACGTAAACATATACTCCAACATAAGTTAGCTACCACTGCACTTTTGTATGGTAAACAAAAAGACTTCAATCTGGGTAGCAAGCAAGGAAGCTAACGCTAGGGCCGCTAGTTGTACGTAGCTACCGCTAGCGCCAGGCTAGCGGTACATTGAATGCATTCGTAAAGTCCTCTGCGTGACAAAAACGGCCAAGATAATGTAAAGGACACTCCCATAATACTTAAAATGAAGCTGAATGCGCAGGTTCAGACTGAAAGACTGAGTGGCTGCCAATCTCACAGCGCTGCCAGCCTCGAGCCTCAGCCAATCACACAGCTCTGCCAGCCTCGAGCCTCAGCCAATCACACAGCTCTGCCAGCATCGAGCCTCAGCCAATCACACAGCTCTGCCAGCCTCGAGCCTCAGCCAATCACACAGCTCTGCCAGCCTCGAGCCTCAGCCAATCACACAGCTCTGCCAGCCTCCTGCCAACCCTCTCACAGCAACGCGGCCAGTTTAAAAGGCAGCCACTTCCTGACAAGCAACGCTTCCTGAGGCTCTTAAACACCCACCACCTCCCCAGCACCCCCTCAGGCTCCTGTTCTGGCTCTGGGCTCCTGCTCTGGCTCACTCACACCATACTCTAGCCACCACCAGTGCTTGACCCCGGGGGATCTGAGATCATCTTCAGCTGCAATCGATCTCATCGCTGCAAGTGTCACTGCCGGGGTCAATGCGCCAAACAAATAAATAATTTTTAATGTATTAATTGTGTCTTT